AACAAATAGAGCAGCCGTGATTTTTAACATTTGAATCTTCAATACTGTTTAAAAATCTGTTGAGTACTTTTGAAAGCTTTAATTTGTTTAAATGCTTCTTAATTGTTGAGACTTCAAATTCATCTCTACAAAATGAGTCAATTACATATTTGGCATCCTCATGTCCAACTTCTTTTGATTTCAAATACCATTGAATTGCCTTCTCTTTATCTTTTGTGGTTCCTTTTCCATCCACTCGACAAATTCCAAGGTTATTCTGTCCTTCACAGTCTCCCCTTTTAGCTGATTTTAAGTAACACTGAAATGCTTGCTCTTCATCTTTTGTAATTCCAATCTCATTCATATAATAATTTCCAATTTCATACTGTCTCTTACTATCCCCTCTTTCAGCTGATTTCTAATACCATTGAAATGCTTTCTCTTCATCTTTTGTGGTTCCAATTCCATACATATAACAATCTCCAAGATTTCGTTGTCCATCTCTATCACCTGCTTCGGCTGATTTCAAGAACCATTGAAATGCTTTCGCTTCATCTTTTGTGGTTCCAATTCCATTCTGATAACAAAATCCAAGATTATTCTGTCCTACATAGTTTCCCCTTCAGCTGATCTTAAGTACCAATAAAATGCTTGTTCTTCATCTTTTGTTGTTCCGATCCCAAATTCATAACAATAACCAAGTTTATACTGCCCATCACTATTCCCTCCTTCAGCTGATTTCAAGTACAATTGAAATATCTTTGCTTTCATCTCAATCTCTGGGATTGTAATCTCATAATTAGGACCAGAAAACTTTTGATTACTAGTACTTTCAGCTGCTTTTAAGAACCATTTATTTGCTTTCTCTTCATCTTTTTTTGTTCTGATCCCTTTGTTATAACAATCTCCACATATAAGCTGTGCGATTTTATTCCCTCCTTCAGCTGATTTTAAGTACCACTGGAACGCCTTCTCTTCATCTTTTGTGGTTCCAATCCCTCTCTTATAACAATTTCCAAGTTCAAGCTGTCCAGTACTATTATTTCCTTCTTCAACTGATTCTAAATTCCATTGATATACTTTCTCTTCATTCATATAATAATTTCCAAGTGCATACTGACTTTCACTATGCCCTCCTTCTGCTGATTTCGAGTACCATTGAAGTGCTTTCTCATCCTCTTTTGTGATTCCAATCCCATGCATATAACAATTTCCCAGATTATAATGTCCATCTCTATCGCCTGCTTCAGCTGATTTCAAGAACCATTGAAATGCCTTCTCTTCATCTTTTGTGGTTCCTTTTCCATCCACATAACAAATTCCAAGGTTATTCTGTCCTTCACAGTCTCCCCTTTCAGCTGATTTTGAGTACCAATGAAATGCTTGCTTTTCATCTTTTGTTGTCCCGATCCCATTTTCATAACAATAACCAATTCTATTCAGTCCTTCACAGTTTCCTCCTTCAGCTGATTTCGAGTACCATTTAAATGCTTCATCTTCATCTTTCGGGGTTCCAATTCCATTCTGATAACAAAATCCAAGATTGTTCTGTCCTACATAATTTCCCCCCTCAGCTGATTTTAAGTACCAATGAAATGCTTGTTCTTCATCTTTTGTTGTTCCGATCCCAAATTCATAACAATTACCAAGTTTATACTGCCCATCACTATTCCCTCCTTTAGCTGATTTCAAGCACGATTGAAATAATTTTGCTTTAGTCTCAACTTCTGGGGTTGTAATCGCATAATTAAGACCAGAAAACTTTTGTTTACTAGTACTTTCGGATGATTTTAACCATTTATTTGCTTTCTCTTCATCTTTTTTTGTTCCGATCCCATATTTATAGCAATTTCCAAGTTTAAACTGTGCGATTTTATTTCCTCCTTCGGCTGATTTTAAGTACCACTGGAATGCTTTCCTTTCATCTTTTGTGGTTCCACTCCCTCTCTTATAACAATTTCCAAGTTCAAGCTGTCCAGTACTATTATTTCCTTCTTCAGCTGATTTCAAGTACCACTGAAATGCTTTTTCTTCGTCTTTTATTGTTCCGATTCCCTTTTCATAACAATGTCCAAGACTATTCTGTCCATCGGTATTTCCCCCTTTAGCTGATTCCAAGTAACATTGAAATGCTTTCTTTTCATCTTTTGTTGTTCCGATCCCATCATAATAACAACTTCCAAGATAACACTGTCCGTCACTATTCCCTCCTTTAGCTGATTCAGAGAACGACTGAAATGCTTCCTCGTCATCTTTTGTGGTTTCACTTCGAAAAATTTCCATCAAACTTTGTCCATCACTGCTAATACCTTCAGTTGATTTAAATAACCATTGAACTGCTTTCTCATCATCTTTTGTTGTTCCAATCCCACCTAAATAACAAAGACCAAGATTATTCTGTCCTTCACAGTTTCCCCCTTCAGCTGATTTCAAGTACCATTTAAATGCTTTGTTTTCATCTTTTGTGGTTCCAATTCCATTTTCATAACAATTTCCAAGGTGATTCTGTCCTTCATAGTTTCCCCCTTCAGCTGATTTCAAGTACCATTGAAATGCTTTGTTCTCGTCTTTTATTGTTCCAATTCCGTTCTGATAACAATTTCCGAGTTTGTTCTGTCCTTCATAGTTTCCACCGTCTGCTGATTTCAAGTACCACTGAAATGCTTTCTCTTCATCTTTTGTGGTTCCAATTCCATTCATATAATAATTTCCAAGCATATACTGTCCATCATTATTCCCTCCTTCAACTGATTTCAAGAGCGACTGAAATGTATCCTCATCAGATTGTTTATTACTCTTCCATCCTTCAACTGATTTCAAGAACAACTGGAATTCTTTCTTTTCATCTTCTGTTTTTTTAATTCCATAAAAATCTTCAAGTATAAATTGCACATTTTTTTGATTCCTTACTTCAGCTGATTTCTTGTAACAAATTAATGCTTTGTCTTCATGTTTTACGGTTCCGATTCCATAAAGATAACAAATTCCAAGACAACTCATTCCTCTACTATTCCCTCCTTCAGCGGATTTTAGGTACCACCGAAATGCTTTCTCTTCATCCTTTGTTGTTCCAATTCCATTCTGATAACAATTTCCGAGTTTACACTGTCCTTTACTATTCCCCCCTTCAGCTGATTTCAAGAACCATTGAAATGCTTTCTCTTCATCTTTTGTTGTTCCAATCCCATTTCCATAACAATAACCAAGATAACATTGGTCATCACTATTCCCTCCTTCAGCTAATTTTAAGCACCGTTTTAATGCTTTCTCTTCATATTCTGTGGTTCCAATTCCATTTTTATTACAATATCCAAGATTAAGCTGTTCTTTACTATTCCCTCCTTCAGATGATTTCAAGTACCATTGAAATGCTTTCTCTTCGTCTTTCTTGGTTCCAATTCCATTTTATAGCAATATCCAAGATTACGCTGTCCTTTACTATTCCCTCCTTCAGCTGATTTCAAGTACCACTGGAATGCTTTCTCTTCATCTTTTGTTGTTCCGGTTCCAAATTTGTAGCAGATTCCAAGAAAATATTGCCCTTTACAATCTCCCTCCTCAGCTGATTTCAAGTACCACTGAAATGCTTTTTCCTTATCTTTTATTGTTCCAATTCCATGTTCATGACAATAACCAAGACTATTCTGCCCATTACTATTCCCTCCTTCAGCTGATTTCAAGTACCACTGAAATGCTTTTTCCTTATCTTTCATTGTTCCTATTCCATGTTCATGACAATAACAAAGACTATTCTGCCCATTACTATTCCCTCCTTCAGCTGATTTCAAGAACCATTGAATGCTTTCTTTTCATCTTTTAGGATTCCGATTCCATTCAGACAACGATACCCAAGATTAAGTTGCCCATTACAATCTCCCCCTTCCAAGTATGACCAAAATTCTTCGTCTTCAACAGTAAAATCTCCCATTTCCAAGTTTGAAAAGTAATTTTCCTCTCCAAAATCACAATCACTCCCATCCATGTAGCTAAACGCACCCCCCATTTATGCCGAGAACAAAAATTTTTATAATAGAAATCTATTATAAATTTGACGAATGTACTGAGGATATGAATAAATACTTTTTATATTTTTTATATGTAACTATAAGTAATTTTTGAGGATAAGTAAAGTTGAAATTTTACTATTCTTACACGCACATTATTCGTTTATAAATTTAATAATTTTATGTCGATCATTATTTGCTAATTTCTAAAAATTGGTTCGTCTTAGAAAATTCTACTTTTTTCATCTTAGAATATTCATCTTGGAAAATTCATTCGGTATAACTTTTCAGATTCCATCGCATTAAATTGTATTATAGTCTTATTGTTTTCCATAATTAGAATTTTATAATTCTCCTTAGAATGTTTAGAATTTCCCATCTTCGTCTTGGAAAATTCATTAAGTTAACCTTTTCAGGATTTCATCACATAATTTTCTATAATTAGAATTTTATAATTCTCCTTAGAATGATTAGAATATTCCACTCGTCGTGATTTCTAAAATTGGTTCGTCTAGTCAGGATTTCATAGTGTCATTGTTTCTATAATAATTTGGCTTAAAAATATCGCAGTAATTTTAAAATATTTGTATAACCGATCTGCACAATTCTTTAGAAAAAGAATGTTCTTAGAAATTTCCTATCTTCACGTTATTGCCGATGTTAATTATAAAAAGGAAGATCTTTCTTTGATTGTTTCCTATTATACAATAAATCCGATAATTTTATGTTGGCTTGCATAATATTTTATAGTGGAATAATTGGATTTAAAAAAAAAAATTAATAAATAAATAACTATATTATTATTAGAATTTTGTAATCAATATAAATATTTCATTATCAAATATATAATATTTTAATATTTTTATTAATTCATATAAAACGTGAATTTACATCATTTATATAAAATTTGACAGAACTGATATTATTATTATTATTATTATTGTTATGCTATTTTTTCAATATCGGCGTGTTTCACTGTTTCACTATTAACAATAATAATTATCAGCCATCGTTTGATTAATCGGCAGCACTACCAACAATAGCGCTACCAGTAGATGGTACGGAACCACCATCGTTTGATGCATTGAAAGGCATAAAGATGACTTTGGCGCCAGAAGATTTTGACATTGCATCCATTGTTTCAAGATATCGCATTTGCTATTATAAATAGAGAAATTTAATTATTTAAAAGGAAATAATTAAATATTGTAAAATTATATTATATTATGTGTATCTGTTTTTATACCATCGCAGTCGGTGAATCAAGAAGTTCGGCAGCTTCTCTCATGAATTTTGCAGAATCAACTAAAAAAAAAATAAAGAATCAATTTATTTAATTCATTTATATTTAGATTATTTAATTCGCCTAATTTAATTTAATTTGATTCATTTAATTACCTTCAGCCTTAGCAGCAATAACTTTACTCTCACCAATTCTCTTTTGTTTAGCTGCCGCAGAAATGTGAGATTGTAAGTCTTGTGTGAATTGAATATCCTTGATTAAAAAACTTTCAATCTTTTCACAATAAATAATTAATAAATAAATAAATTAATAAATTATTTAATTTATAAATAATAAAATATATAAAAAAAAATATGTTAAAAATTTATTTATACTTTAACACCCCAAGAGTGAGCAGGCTCATCAATGATTTCTTTAATTTCAAAAGCAATTGCTTCACGATTCTCAATACAATCTTGAAGGACGTGCGTACCGAGAATGTGGCGCAGAGTAGTTTGAGCGCTGATCAATTAATTAATTATTAATTATCATTTGCGGTATTTTAATTTCAAGAAAGACACTTACCGATCAACAAGGGCTTGTTGAACATCAGTAATACCAAAGGTTGCTTTGGTGGGATTAATCACGTGCCAGAATATAATTGTTTCAATGTAGACATTTACATAATCCTAATAATAAAATAATAAATAAATTAAATGAATTGAAATTGCTATATATATATATATTCCTTTTTTAAAGTTCTCCAATAATAATACCTTTGTCATAATTGTTTGTCTTGGAATATTCGTGACTTGTATCTATCAATTTTATTGGATTATTTTATTAATTATTTTATTGGATGATTTTATTAAATTATTTTATTAAATTAATAAAAACTTTCAAAATACCATGACACCAACTTTCTCGAGTTTTTCTGTGAAGACATTTACTTTGACCAACCCCGGATCAACAGATTTGTAAAATTGTCCTATACACATACACAAATTTATATAATTACGTTTGTTGTAAAAAATTTCGTTTCTAGTAAAAGGAAAAACGCTCACTTACCAAATCGTGAAACCAATCCTACATAACCTTGATCAACACTTTTGTAAGGATTAGGGAAACAACAACATAATGGAATCTAAAAATTTCCATTTAATAATAATAATCATCAAATTAATTTTTTTTTTTCAAATATTTATATATAAGAATTAATTTATTTTCATTTACCGATCCCAACGTTCCGCACAATTCTCCAAGAAAGTTCATCATACTACCGTAATATCCATGAGGATTATCTCCGAGAGGATATGTCTTGGCATAACTGGATTGCATTTGTTGTATATCTAAAGACTAAAAAAGAAATGCAAATTTGGTCAACGCGTTACCGCAGTAAAATCGGTTATACACGAAATATAGATATAAAATAATTAATTGTAAAATCGGTTATATACGAAATATAGATATAAAATAATTAATTACATACAGTTTTAATTCCCCCACTACTATTAATTTCGCTAATTTCATTAATTTCATTAATATTATTACTTTCTGAAAGTGAAGATTTCTTTTCTGAAGACATTATTATTAATTTTTCAATTTAATTTAATTCGTTAATTTTTGTCGGGAAAGGTAAAAAAAATTTCGGGAGACAACAATTTAAATTTTTATAATTGTACTGGCGATTTATTCTCCCGATACACATTTTAATGATTAGATACGATTTCTCAAAAAAAGGACGAAGTTAACCAAAATAAGCGAAATAAAGGGCGTTATAAATAAATGTTAGTATAAATTAGTAAAAATTAAAAATCGACGAATCAACTAAACTTTGATGCACTTCTTTAATTTAATTGTTAAAAGGCGTTATAAATAATTAATTTGTTGTGTTAGTATAAATTAGTAAAAATTAAAAATGCATTCTTTAATTTAATTGTTAAAGGGCGTACTCTTAATCGGTAGTTTTGCCCCTCAAATAGTCAAATTGTGATGAATTTTAAACCAGATTATATTTTATTTTTAACAGTTCTTTTTTTTTTGGTGTTAGTCATATAATATTAATATATTAATACAATACAATGATAAACATTGATTGCGTAAAGATGATTTTATCAATTGCATAAATATAAATCTAATTTTATTAATTTAAAGAAATAATTTATCGATAATTAAATATAACTAAGGTTACAAAAGTGAAATTATTATAATTATTATTTTTTTAGAGAAATAAATATTTAGTCTTAAAAGAATTGAATCTATAATAAGTAATTTAGTTTTAAAAGAGTCGAATTTATAAGCAATTAAGTTTTAAAAGAATCAAATTAATAAACTTCTAAAATATGTCGTTCCATATCTTTTAATTTATTAACCCAAATCATTTACTTCACCCGATATCAATTCTCCTGTTGACATAAAATTTTTTACAATACATCGAGTATGGGCCATGTAAGTCCACATAAATAAAGCTATCCTTGATCTTGCATTAAGTATTTTTGTATTAATGCGGAATCATCATTCATCTTATGTTGAATTTTGTACACTTTTTGTGGCTGATTCCAATCGAAGATATATCAATAATCAAGTTCTTCTCTATAAAGATATTCCATTGATCTATTACGCGATCCAATCGATGGTCCCACTTCTTTCCCTTGTGATTTTCTATAAGCTCATTCTTCAATAAATGCTCGAAATGGTGTCATTTCTGTACCAAGTCTCGCGTTACCATTAGAATTGGCAGTGAATCTCGGTGGAAGTTTATAACTTGATAAATAACATGTACATGTACGTCGTCCATATCGTTTTTATCCCTAACTGGTATTCCATTCAACTGTAACTATCAATAAATATACATTATTAGGATGTACATTTGTACGAGATCTACCACAGGTGATGAGAATTCGTATAAAATATCCGAATCCACTTACGCAAATGTTTCAGCACTCGATGCTTAAATTCTTCGGTACCTTCTTTACTGGCATAAATAATAATTTATTTTCACTTTATCATCCGTTACAAATTTGCCATAGTTTCGTAAAAACGTTTGGGTGACCAATCAAATAAATCAAGAACTTAAGAAAAATATTTGGAATATTGTTCTTGATTCGTATTTATTTCTTTTTTGTTAAGTATTGAAACAATGTCATTAGTATTCAATTCATAATATTCTAAAAATTTATTAACATCTTCTGTACCATTATGACCATATACACTAAATGCTTCTCCCAAATCGTATTTTAAAGTATCAAATTCGATATGGAATAAATATCGATCATAGATTCTGGATTATGCGTTGCGTTGCTTCTCGGAAACATGAGTAATATAAGTTTTCCGATACATCCGGACGAACAATTTGATTGGTTTATAAGCTTCTTTGAAAAGAAAATTTCATGCATTGCGTGCCGAGCAGTAAGTTTAGGGGTATCAGTTAATTGTTGGTCAAAATTTGAACTAAAGGAATTATCAATCAATCGATAATAGCAGGAAGTAATATTTGATCCGATTTTTCTAATATTAACCAGGTAGGAAGAATTTCAACATGAATTATTGCTTTTTTCGGTCTCTTGAATTAAAGAACAGTACAACTTCTTTTTCATTATTACTCTCGTAAAAACTAGAAATGGTGTCGGATACAATATAATAAATTTTAATAATTTTAAAATATGCAGCTTGCAAAACCAACATCTCCAACATCTAAATTCAAATCATTAATAATCCGATCTTTATCGACATCGGTTATGTATAACCGCATATTACGATTTGTGGCTTCATATCTAAAAGCATTATGCAACTTTGTTTCTGGTTCATCCACAGTCCAACTAGTATTCAAGAGAATGATGGCACCATCTTGGCGTAAGTAAAAGTAGTTAAGCCAGCATCATTAATAGAAATAAAATTAACTCCCGATTCAACATCAATGAACACCACACCTAACTGTAATTTATAAATATTGAATGTACAGTAGGTAAAAACATTTAATTTAAATTATGAGCAAGTATTTGAGCAAGTATTTGAGTAATTCCAGTTGTTAGTAAGTGAATTGATGACACGAAAATTGAATTTTTGAGATGGGAATATTTTACATCTATCAATTGGGGACGAGAACTAGCCCATCATATAATGAAATGGAAACATCATCCAATAATGAAGAATCCAAATTGTATGATCAATCCATGTTTGAAGAAACCTGCTCCGAAACCGCAATACGTTTGGTTGTCTTTTATAAAGCTGCCAAAAAATGTTTTTCAGACCACGGCAACAGCTGTTTCTCACTATAAACAATTAATAACGTTTCAGCAGTTGTGATCCAATATATTCAAATGCCTTGTATATGTTTTTAAGAATTTACTAACTTTATTTGCAATTTTTCAAATATATCCACGGAATTATTTGTGGTTGAAGAAAGACCCTCGCAATAACCTCTTTACTTATTTTATGAATCTCAGATTATGACAAGAGATTGACTTTGGAAGATTCCTGGGCTGCTTTCACACCATCGAAAATATGTAAATATGGTGATGATGTTGATGTGGATATCGAAATTAAATTAATGCAATTTCCTAAGTTGATAATTCCCAGTATCACGTGCATAAAATGCAGAAATTTTTTGAATTATCATTAAAACTATAGGTGTAAATATCAATTACCAGTGGAATCTTTTTATGGGAAATATTATATAAATTTAGTTGAAATTATCGAACTTGACGAAGGAAATACCTAAATGACTTCACCAGAATTCACGAAAGAGGTAGCTCCTAAAATAGCCGATATGGAACAAGTATGCATTTGGATAGAATTAATAACTTTCCCGAAAGCATCTTCTACCTTTTGTTAGATCCCTGTGATACGACTTTCCCAACATAATGGGATCGTAAAAGTTGGATAAATGAAACTATTGCTTAAAGCGTAAGCTACGATACAGCTGTTTTACCATCCATAAATTTTATTCCACCTTTTGTTAAAACTTCTAATGTAATATCGTATCATTATCCATAATTTTTGATTTGATAGACATTATTTAAGTTGAATTCCCCAGAGTAGGTAAATATTCTGAAGATGCGTCAGACTCATCCTCAAGAATTTTACACTCAAAAACTAATCTTTTAATACCATTATTTGTAAGATCAGCTAACTCTTGAGGAGATAAAGTATTGGTTGTCTTGTTTATGTTTCCAATTTGTTTCTTGATTCTTGATATTGGAAGCGTTATTGATAGCAGAAGTTATATTCTTTAGTAAACGTTCAATAATATGTTTCTTAAGTTTTTGGGAAATTTGCGAACCGGTCTGTTGGAAGATATGGCTGCTTAAAGAGATCCACCCCAATAAGTTGGAATAAACAAAAAGCCACATAATTATGAATTTTCAGCAACGTTGATTGGTATTTTTAGTTTACGAGAGATCTAAGCAATTTCGTGTGATAACTTTACATAATCAACAGCAGCGAGAATGAAGTCAACGGAACCTCTACTAGATATTTCTCATTCCATTCACTGTTTTTGTGAGCGATGGCGTGTTTGGCAATATATTTTTAGATTTTATCGGAAGAACACTTATTGAATTGTGGTGTTATTAGGGTCGTCTCCCGAAGATTCGCGTCCAAAACGAATTCAATCCTGTTCGCTGCTGCAATATGATTATTGCCAATAATGAGAATATGACGACCTTGCAGTTTCCAATCAATTATCAAAGAACTATTATTCAGAATAATACTATTTCCCATGATTATTAGAATTTTTAATCGAAATTTTTAAAAAATATATAAAGTTCATACTTGATTATTAGAAAAACGTGTGCAAAAAACAGTAAAATGTTGAATGATCTTTTCTTTCTGACTTTTCTGCCTCTTTATTTTATTTTTATTTTTTGAGCCAATCAAAATGCAAAGATAAAGATACAATTTATAAAATATGAATTAAAATATCGTATTTTGTTAATAGACTCTTTACGTCTTTAAATCAATACCCTAATAATTCTAAAAGTATTATTAGCTCTAAAAGTTTTATAAGTCCTTTAACACTAACAGTTCTTGATCCATTCGCATTTATTTTTCCCAACGATCTCGAGGATTCACATGCTAACGCATTTCAAATTCTCCAACCTACCTTCCGAGGACCAGGTCAAGTGATAGTATACCTATGGAAAAATTTTGGACTAGCTTCAAATACACTTAGTCACGAGGCTGTCAAAAAAATCTACGTAGCAAGGAATAAATCATCAGATGATCTGCCTATTCTTCTTCATTACCAAATAGCATCAATTTATGAACCTGTAATAAAAAAAATTTTGGCAGTGCCAATTAACAATATTATTGCCAAAACCTGATTTGATCCCTTCCAAAATAATGTGTAATCAACATAGTTCCTTGTACTGGTAAATTATTTGATACAATTGAACAATTATTTGATATTGGTGGTTTAAATTTTTATTATCATTTTAGAAATACTATTCAATAAATTATAAAATAAAAAATTATCTAATTTTTTTTTATTTAAAACTAGTGCGATGGGTGGCACTTTGTGCCACCCTATCTTATTGATTTGTGTAACTTGTTGTGTGGTATACAAGGTATCGTGATGGTTATGCTGATCAGTTTTACTGGACACATGTTTTTTTTAAGAAACTGTTAGACGAGATCTCACGGACAAGGCAAATCATTCTTTTGAGTAATTTGTTAAAAGCAGGCCTCGGTGTAAGAAAATTTGTGTCAATTAACGGATTTACAAAGAACAGAGATTCGTGTAATGAAATGAAATTTAAAGAATTTTTTCAGGATTTTTCGCCCAAACTTGCTTTAATTATATTAAGTTATTTTAATTATTTTAATTACATCATGATGATTGGGATTTGTTTAGTGGGTTAAACTTGTTATATAAAAGTATTGTATTACAGAGTTTTTTTTTCATTTGAATAAACATTCTTGTTTTGTTGTGAACAAAAGGTTCAAGTTTATATCATGCCATATTACACAGACACTATTGTAAGAATTAAGTGTGTTCGCAAGACTGAAAAGAATGATAGTAATTTAATCATAGTATGGGCTATTGGCACTTATCCAGTAGAACGGGATGATAATGAGATTGAAATGGTCTTGTTCGTTCTTATTAATTTTGGTGATAGAGATTCCGAAATCCAAGCTGTTTTTGATAAGGATGGTTTTTATTCTGTCGGTGATAAAATCGTACCTGGGTATTACGGGGGAGTTAAAAGACCAAAGATAATGGTTGTTGGTTGGTTTAGTTTTGTAAAGTGTTACTCATTTTCTTGTTTTTGTAGATGACAGTTTTTGTTTCTACTGGTTTGACCATCCTCAACAATGCCGTTAATTCGAATAAATACCTACTAAAAGTTTCTTTTGTGGGAGTACCTCAAGAATCACAATGGGTGATAGGAAATGACGAGAATACCGTTTTGAGTGTTTTTAATAGTGATTATGTTGATCAAGATTTTAATTTTATTGTCAAAATTGTATTCCAGCATCTTAATTCTTGGTTTGCACACTTAAAGAGCACAATTCATCTACAAGATTCATTTATTTTTGTTGTGGGTCAAATGGAAGTTATTGATAATGATTTTTACGTTTATGCAAAGGATATCAATTTTATCAATACTCAGTCTTTGTTTAGGCAAAAGAGTTTTGATAGTAGTTTGCATAATTTGTCCGAAGGTATTAATGCGATTCGCTCTAAGCTTATCGTTACTCATTGCAATGTTGTTGAAGTATGAAAGGAACTACAGAAGTTTTAGACAATTTTATAAACGATAATAATGTGTCTTCTTCGAAACATATAAAAGTTGAGCCTGTTGATAATATCGAAGGGAGCAATTTACAAATTGATGCTAGTGGTGATGTTCAGTGTAATGAAACTGAGGTGGTGGTAAAAAAAAGGAAACGTAAGAGAAATGTTCTTGGTGATAATGGAAAAAGTTCTAGAGGTCGATCCTTACGTAGTACTTCAAGACCTGATATTGAGGGTAAAAGGGAATAAGTGTTTATTTTAGTTAATTGTTATTTTGTTTTTTTTTGTAAACTGTAGTATAGTTTTTTTTTGTTTTATCAAATGTTGTCATTATATATTTTTAATTAAATATTTAATATTTTTTATTTTTTACTAAATATGTAATTTTTTTAAATAAATAAATAACAAATATTGTTTTTATATATTATTTAAATATATCTGTTGTTATTAATATGTTGTTTATTACATATAGAAAAAAATCAATTTTGTATAAGTTTATTCAAGTAGTTTTGAATATACAATATTTTTAGTAATAAATGGATCTAGTAAGTGGTTTTCTTTAGTAAGTATTAGAATGTGATTTCTTTGACAGACTCTTGTTAAGGCAGTGTAAAGTTAACCGTGACCTAATACGGGGTCCATAAGTCAAGTACAACTCAATCTAACTTTATTCTTGTAAAGAATAGGTTAAATATAATGGGAACTGGTGGTGTCAAATTTTAAATGGAAAATGTGAGATATTGAATAGGAAGGTGATTTGTGATAAATGTGCAATGCAACCTGTTATAGGATTTTGTATTGTGACTAATTGATATCCAATATTTACAATAATGACTTTACAATTTTTGAACAAACTATCACGTAGTGACAGGTTATGCATTATAGTCACTATACTGTGGCAATCCAAATTGGTAATCAGGTGAAATGTCATGGGGAATGATAATTTGTGTCACTAGATGAACATTCAGGTAATTGTTATTCCACATGAGATGACTGTACGAGGATGAAGGATGAAGTACGAAGATAACCGTATGAGGGTGAAAGATGAATGTACCAGGATGAAGGATAAAGTACAAAGATGAGAAGAATGAAGGATGAAGTACAAAGATGAGAAGGATGAAGTGTAAACAAAAGAGAAAGTATAAATACGACCATTGTCAGGTGTAAGTCTTAGAAGTAATTAGAATTCATTAATAGTTATTAGTTAATTAATTATCACTTAATATTACGGAATATATCGAAATATTTTAATTATAAATAGATAGAAAATTAAACTTACTTCAGAGACATCCTAATATATGATAATAATTTTGTCACTAAATTATACTTTACTTTTAAAAAACTTTATATTTTATATTCTAATAAACTTATATCTTGTACCATAATATTGCAGAATATTATTAAATATTGTTTGATACTGTGTTAACTACTTTTACTTCACCTTACTCACTATGCCTTCATGATTAATTGATTAATTATTTGATTATTATTATTATTTATTATATATTTATTATCTGTTTTGAAATAGGCCAGTTAAATCAATTGTATTAGCTGTGACCTACTAACAGATAGAGCGTATTATTATGTTTGTGTGATGCAAACTTTGAGACTGATTTGAGAAATTATTCAAAATACTCTACACAGTGGTGATAATACATTTATGTTTTAGTATAAGGCAATGCTTGGATATCCCGAATACACTGAACGAATTTAATAGTCCAGCGGTAATCAAATTCTTTGGATAATATGAGATTGTCCTTTTTATATAAATCGGTTGCATTACCTTTTAATTGCTGAAGAATGATATTGTTGATTGAATTTACTTTTACATTTAGTGGACACAGGATAGCTCATTGGAGATATGTAACTGGATTGCTCAATACAGTTACAAGAAAGATAAAATCGATTGCATCCTCTAATCTGAATACTGTATTTAATAAAGGTAGTAAAACATTTTTTTCACTAATACCATCACCAATATTATCCATAAATCTTGAATAATTTATATCTCAAGCATCTCAAACTGGCTTTTGTAAATCATAAATTTCAAATGTGTTCCATATCAAAGATAACTTAATCAATTTAAGAATCATGACCATTTTTCCATTACGTGAAATTACCAGTGTAGCTTGATGAAAATCTCCTATTCCAATAAAAACCTTTTCACTAAATGGTAGATTACAACTGTAAAGATCACGAAGTAACATATCTACTGTTTCTATATTACCTTTCTGAGTCATCAGTAGCTTATCCCAAGTGATAACAGATGTTTCTCTAATTTGTTCAGCATGTTTACTATTTGAACTAATCTGACATTTGCATCTATTGCCACCATATTCTACTGAAATGCGAAATAGCAAATGCGCAGTGCAGTCCCCATTATAATTAAGTGTCACTAAATCAATTGTATCATATAGAAAGATTATTTTTTTTAAACTTCTTGTTGTAGTATATATAGTGTTTACTAAAAATGTTTTACCACAACCACACGTCCATTAATGAAAATAGTTAAAGTTTTGTTATTTTGTATGTGATAAATGATTCTTTAATAAATTTTTTTTGTTCAGAATTTAGTTAATTGATCATTTTTTCTTTTTCTATAATTAACATATCATAGTTGTTATGTTGTTTTCAGAACCAGGTGGTTTAGGTAAGCCGATTTGTGTCATATTACAACTGTATTCTTTTAAAAAATCAGAGATCCATATCAACACTTGGTTTTCTTCCTGTTGTATATTTCCTATTCTACTAATGTAATTTTATAATAAAAGTTTATGATGATCCTTTCAAATAGTTTGTGTAGCTATACCATCTAAAATGAGATGACAAAAGAGCAGACGGAGTTGAAATATTGTTCATTTTCAGTTACATCATCTAATAGACCTAGTGTGTGTGCTGTATCTTGAAAAGTCAAATACATTATTTCATTTACTTTCCATAAGTCTTCAAAAGATTTAGCTGCACAGTAATTTAAGAGTATACAAAGATAATATTTTTTACACATATAAGAGCATAACAATTCATTGTTGATATCTTTAATATTTTTTTTTCAAGTAGGTACCTGGGGGGAGCAAATGTTAGTCAATTAATTTACCTGTGTAACTAAAGGAATATAGTTCATTATATTTACAATAAGTGAAGTTATTGAATTTGGAATTTGATGGATGGAAAAAATAATATTGTAAAGTAGAAAGATTGTTACTATTTTCACATAAAATAGTTCGTTCTTCAGGTAAATAGATTGGTAAACATGTTACAGATGGTGATTATGAAGTTATTTTATATTTGAAAATATGCCAAATAGCTTCCATCGCAAAAAGGTAACATGCGTTTAGATCATACTTGTATGTAAAATTATTTTGAAATCCTGAAATTGCAATTTCGATAAAAAAAGTCAAAATAGTTTTTCATAAAAGAACAGCTTGAATATGACGCATAGAAATCTGAGTAATTTCAATGTTTTCTCTTAATGCAGTGAGCGCAGATTCTCTATAAAATAAATAAATAAATAAAAAATAAAAATAATTAATTAATATAAAATACAAAATATTAAATAAAAATAAAATAAAAAAAAATATACACACCTAAACAAAATTTCAAAATCAGCCCCACTAAATTCTTTGCTATTATTATCATTATTATCATCATCATTTTTGGTGTGAGTAAATTCTTCAAATTCATCGGTCCAAAATTATTTTATTTAAAATCTGAAATTTTTTATTGAATATACACATATACTAGTTGAAATTTGATAAATCATATATACATCAGATATCCAATATGTGCATAGTACATCCCTAATATCGGATATCCGATGTGTATATGATTTATCAATTTTTGATCAGTAATAACTGGTGTTGATCCTGTTCCTCTATTTTTATATATATTCTTAGTATAACTTATTTTATTATTATTTTATTATTATATTAGCATTTTGTATATATATTATTTTATCTATTTTTAGTTTAGTATATTTATATTCTTGTATCACTTTTCAATTATCAATATTTATTCTTTATGTAATTTGAGTAACAGAGGTAAAATATCTCAGATATGTAACAATACATGACACAAGGTAAAATTCCTCTGGTAACTACTGGTGAAATACCTAGGTAAATTACCTTCAGCATTAATAATCACGCTAGAATGTCATGGAAACTTCTAGAGTTTTCTTGAAATTAGTAATTATAGTTTGCAATATGATCATAATTTTGTATAAATAATAGTTGTTTCTGTTTCTCTTGAAGGAACAGTTGATATAGAATTGAATATTCTAATAACAAGAAATAAAAATATTGTTTATAAACTGATATCTTCCTTGGTAAATCATATAGTTTATATTGTGACTTTCTTAGTGAAAATCCTCTTGTTATTTGTCTTGTTTTGTAATCTTAGCAATTCTTGTTATTATTACTCTCTTCTTGATAATAAGAGTAATTGTTAATTAATAATATCCTATTTTGTGACCTTGGTATTGTTATCTGTGTAAACCTTCTACAATTTACAAAGACAGCGGGATAAAATAATGCTAAAACTAATAATAAAACTAAATATAACTATAAGAATTACTAATTTCTCGATAAAATAATCACAATACAAAGGTTTATACGTAGAAGGAATTAAGTACGATCAATTATGAAAGAGGCGTATTTAACTATTAACAGTGGTATGAAGACT